CTCCCTTTTCTGCCAGAAATTCTTCAAATTCTTTGTTTTTGAACTCTAGCCCATTATCGCTTCGTATATTTATTACCACCTTTCGCAGCTGCAATTCCACTTGCTTGATAAAAGCCTTCAGCTTTGGAGTCGCCTCTGATTTCTGTTTAAGAAAGAAAACCCAGGTGAAGTGTGAAAAATCATCTACAATTACAAGTATAAACTTACTACCACTGAAGCTTTCAATAGCCGAAGCACCACATAAGTCAATGTGCAGTAGTTCAAGAGGTTCGATGACCTTTGTATTGATACGAGTAGGGTGACTCTTTCGGCTCTGCTTGCCCATCTCGCATGCTGCGCAAAGATGTTCCTTGTCAAATTTGAGAACAGGAAGTCCACGCACGTGATCACCAAGCACCAGCTTATTAATATCTTTGAAGTTGAGATGGGATAGCCTTCGGTGCCACAACCAACTTTCATCTGAGTTCGCCTTCGGTAGCAAACATATTGCTGGCTTTCCTTTTATCGGGTTGAGATTTAGAAGAAACATCTCCCTTTTCGCTCAGATTTCAACAGAACTTTCTTCATTTGTTTTTCAATTATCTCTGAGCCCTCATCGTCAAACGAGACTTTCAAACCGGTTCCTGCAACTAGTTGAGAAACATTGATGAGGTTATGCTGCAATCCTTCCACGTAGGCTACCTTTCGTATAGAGAGCTCTCCGTTAGTTATCATCCCATACCCTTTGATCGTTCCGTAAGAGTTGTTTCCGTATTTCACACACCCACCATCCTTAAGAGACCGAAACTCCCTAAGCTCTTCCCTCCTTCCAGTCATGTGACGAGAGAAGCCACTGTCAATATACCATTCTTCGTCAAACTGCTCGTCACTGATAACCTGCAAGAATTAAGCAGATTTAGGAACCCAAAGTTTCTTGGGCCCTGGTGAGTCTTTTACAGAATAGGGAATTGCAACCGAAAGATCAACCATATATGTTCTTTTTATTAATGTGGTTTCATCTTTTCGCTTGATGGTGTACACTTTGATTTTATTTTTATCTTGTTTTAACTGGTGTGTTTTATTGTTAGTTGGTTTCACAGTTGAGGTTTTCTTGGGTGTTCTATAGTTAGCTGCCTTTTTGGTCTTGTGGACTTCAGGTTCTGGATACAGCTTTCCCTTTCCTTTGACATCCTTCACAGAGTTGGGCTTTGGTTGAGAGTGAGGAGGATGGGATTTGGGACCGAAGCTTGACTTTCGGTTCTGAGCACTTGTGTTGGGACCGAAACAGGACTTTCGGTTCTTGGCGTAGTAAGAGTTAGGACCGAAATGGGTCGTTCGGTTTTCCTGACTGCATGACTGGCAGTGATTGCGAGAATGAGACTTGGCATGTGCTTCCTTTTAAAGAGTAGAAGCTTTTTCGGAGCGAACATAAGAGGGGTTTTGGGATTGCCAAAACTGCTTTCTCTCATTGAGATTTTTCATGTATCTTTTGTTCCTTTGTCATTTCTGTTCAGCAAGTTGCTCTTGAGTCAAGTGAATGTTGGCCTTAGGTTTCGCTTTCTTCTCATGAGAACCGGTTGTTGTTGATGAATCGCTGGTAGCTTTTAGTTGTACGCTTGGTTTGTCTTTTGTACCACTTGTTTTGGGTTTATCAAAGCTTGAGGGCTTGTTGAGGGGTTCGGGTATGTATCATCCCTTAACTCTCCATGAGGTTTGCTCTGACAGACCAACTGTTTCATCTGCATTATCAATGGGAGCAGACCAGAAGAAGTTATGACACCCTTCAGCATTATATTTGTCAACCATTGATGTCAACTTCGCCGTTTGCTTCTTAGTTACCACAGTGACTGCATACACTTGGTTGGGTGTAGTTTGTACCTTCTGATAGACAACGACTTTTTCTTTGAGCTTCTTTGACTTGTCCTTTGACACCCGAGCGTATTCAACCGAATTTTCAGATATGAGGGGTTTTGTTGGTTCGGGTTCGCTCTTAAGAAATTCTGAACAATCAACCACGTCTTCTACAAAGATTTCACTCATCCCACTGTCCTCATCAAATTCAGAGGTGGTTTCTAAATTTATTTTATTTTCTGAACTCAATTTGGCATTGGATGAGTCAAACTTCTATATAGTCTCGGTCTTTATTATTAATTTATCATTTTCATCCAATAAATTCTTAAGCATGCATTCATGTTCTTTAGACTCAATGAAAGATTCAATTTTGTCCAGTCCATATTTGTAGGTGACCAAAATTTCATCCGAGGACATTATAGATTCACATTCAGCAATGACTTCGTCCTCCTTAAATTCAAGGAGAGGCAAAATCATTTTATGAATCTGTTTTCCTATCTCACAATCTAAATGTAACTGAGTGATATTAGTATATAGGTGTCTAGCAATCAAACAGAAAACATTTCTTTGTTTCAAAAATTTCAAATTGTCTCTTTGCACATAAATAAGTTCATCCCTAGCCCTACTTAACTCTAACTCCTTCTACTGAATCCACATCCTTCTCTCCTCACTTTTGGAAGACGCCCTGCTGAGTTGGTCAGTTAGGTTAGAATTAGCTAGGCGAGTTTGCATAAGACTGCCACTTAAATTAGAAAACTTGGATTTTAATCCATTTAAGTCTTTTTCGTAGTTTGTTATTGGTACTTTATGAGATTCTAGGATAGTTTGTACCTTTTTGATCAACTGATCGCAATCGCTGATATTTTCACTCATGGGCTTGGCAACGAAACATTTGTCTTCCAAGACCTTCGCTTCCTCATGCTTACTTTCGGTTGTAACCATTAAGCATCTCCCAGCCGACTCAACAACTCCTTCTCTCGCCACATATGCTCTTCCATGCGAGGGTCTGCGTACCTCTTCATCCTCAAAATCTGTAGACCAAACTTCCACTCCACCGAACTCATCATCTACAACGTTTTCCTGCACAATCAAAGCATTCATGGAAGCGTTAGAAGCTTTCTTCTTCTTTATCTCCTCCAACTTTCTCATGTAGTAAGCTTCGTCATCTTCACCCTCCTTCTTCTCAGCCATCTTCCTTAGCATGCAATCCTTGGCAAAGTGGTTCTTGCCATGACAGTAGTTGCAATCGTACCCAGAGTCTCCCACAAGCTTACTCTCTTTCTTTTCATCATCCTTTTGAGTGGTATTCTTCGGTTCTTCCTTCACCTTTTCAGAACTATAGCTTCCCTGCCAGTTTCGGTTCTTGTTGACCGGGAACTTTCTGCGAGTAAACTTCTTTGGGTTTATGACCATCATAACATAGTCTTCGTTGGACAAATCACACTCTGATATATCAAATTCCTCCTCTTCGTCTGTTACATTCTTGCCTTTAGAAACAAGGGCCAGTTAACTCACACCCGAAACTACCTTCACTTCCTTTGTCACCACGCTTTCATGGGATTTGAGAATACCCATCAGTTTCGCCAGTGAATATGATTTAAATTGCTCGTGAGCCTTCACAGTTGAAACTACAGCCATCCATTCGAGCCTTAATCCATTCATGAAGGTAACCTTTTGTTCAATCACCTTCCTTTCAATACCATGCTTCATTATCTTACTGAGTAGATGGTTGAAGCGATCGAATGTCTGAATAAGCTTCTCTTCAGGTTTTTATTCGAAGGCACCGAACTCAGAGAGCAAAAGGGTCTGGATTGAGTGTTCTAGATCCTCATCGGTTGAGTACAATTCTTTCAACCTATCCCATATTTCTTTAGCTGTTGTGCATGAACTCACCAGACGAAAAGTATCGGATTGCAATGCGAACCTGATCATCCTCATGGCTTTAACGTTGCATAACACCTTGTCTTTTTCGTCTTGAGGGATCTTATCTATGTCCGCCAAGAGTTGGTTATACTCCTTTTGAGTTTTGACCGTTCGGTTTGTTCCAGAGTGAACAAATGGACCCAATGTTATTGCTTCCTAGATTAAGTAGCCATTGTCTTCGGATCCAACTACATAGTCTTTGAAGTGATGCGCCCACACTTCATAATCTTGAGTATAAAGAATGGGAATCCTTGTAGTAGATTCGATACTGTTGGAGATGTTGTTGGATTGATCTGAGAGTCATCGTGAGACATGATGATTTTTTCTGTTAGAATCAGACTCGTAACGATGAACTTAGGGTTTTATCAAACACACAATATACCGTCGACAAGAAGAAGACGGCTTCTATATATTGATAAAAGCGGAAACCCTAATGGATTCTTCAAACAGAAGATATGCGTATGTATTACACAGTCTCCCGCTCTGATACCAATTGTTGGAAATATTACACGACAGATCGATAGATTCTAAACAGAAAACCAAACTAATGAACACAAGAATGGATCAATGATGTCGAATGATTAATAACTCACACCTCAGAAGAGCTCGATGAAGAACTTCGACTGTAGAGGTGTGCTGGGGTTACAATGCAAGTAATTAATGAGAACAACTACTAGAAAGCTATACATGCATGCAATATTTATATGCTAACCCTAATGATTATCCACAGTTGGACAGGACCAAACCGGCTAAACTAAATGGACTAATGACCGAGCCCAAAGACGCAACACTTAGACCCAACAATTATCATGGATGTTGTTTGACTATAAAATCTATTACGTATTTTTATCTCCTGCGAAGCATTGAAGAACATCGGACGAGCCGTGGGCATGTGCAATAGATATCCTACATTTCAACAATAAAACCTATACAAAACTTTAGTCAAATTGTAATAAACTATAAGTTTTATAACGATACGTTTAAAAATACTATAAGTGGTTGGAATGAATTTTTAAAATAGTTCTTCTCTAATAAAAAAAAAATAGCTATGTAACAATTTTTTCAATGGTAAAAAGATATACAAAAAACTATGATTATGGGTAATAAGTACAACTAAGAAAGTGAGATTTTATTGATAACATATAAAATGTGCTCATGCTTACTAAATAGAAGATACAAATAAAGGTTGAACGTATTGATAAATCCACATTACTCATTACTCATATTTTAATAAAAGTCTCTCTTGCTCACTGAAATATGCTCTCCAATTCTTCGCTAAATATGGAAAGCAACGCATCCATTTGTTTTGCAGGAAGGGTTACACCAATTTCAATATCAGCATGTGACTCTTTCGTAGCATTAACAGAAATTGAACCATTGTAATCTATTGATATAGTCTCATGCTTTTTTGGCTTACCCCATCCAAAATCCAAATCGTAGAACTTGATCTTTGGTGTTCCGGACACAATAATCCCCGGTATCTGTGTAAATACTGCCTTAATCAACATCCCCCCATCTTCAATAACTCCATTCTTCTTCTTTAGTGTGTCGCTTAAATCATTTGTAAATAATTTGAAAGCAGTAAGAAATCCATTGTTGCTTCCTAAGATGGTGCTTTTTATTTTTGTGATAGATGCCCCTATACAGTTACCAAAATAAGTTTGAGGAATTGGTGGATCGAGGCGGGGCCTCCAATTCACAGCACACACAAGCCTTTCTAGGTCATCCTCTCCCTTTTTTTCTCCAATATGAACATATGATTTGGCTATGCAATGCCATATATAAGCACATGCCACAGAAAAAGATGATATGTATCCATGTTTGGGCAGTTGAGTGAATAGCCAGTTCTTTATCCCACCGATTTGTGCTTGGGTCAAGACAATGGTGCCCCGAACGTTATCAGTAGGTCTAAAACGATGACGAGGCTGGTATTCCATATTAATAGCTGGAAACCCGGGTATATTTAAGGAAATTTCATCTAATGAGCTTAGGTATTTAAGCACTCTTTCATAAAACGGTAAAGATCCCCTATCTAAGAAAAACTCATCTGTTCCATGTTTAGCAATTGAGCTCCACGCCTCGAGGAAATTATACCTTGTGCTTGCGTCACAAAGGGAGTGGTGGTTTGTGAGCCCAATACAGAAACCAGAGTTAAGAAAAAGTGTAACTTGCACAGAAAAAAGTGGGATGATAAGGTAGTCAGATACTTGTTCTGCACGTCCAAGTAGAGGTACAAGTGGATAAAACATGTCACACTTACGAGGATGATTTCCTGTAAGATCATTGAAATCAAGAGTAGACTCGGCAATGGTAACTGCAACAGAGTCGCCCTCTACATGACGGATTTCAGGTTTTTTCTCTACACTTGGGTTAGGAAACAGAATTATGTTGCCTGCAAATGGGAAGAAGTGTTGAAGAGTGATTGATAATGAATTTTTGAGGTTCGGCACAATTGTTTCCAAGAAATATTCTTTAGAGTGAGTGGACTCATAGAAGAAAGTCTGGTGGACCGGGATGTGGGATAGCCACATCATGTCCAAGAATGTAAGCGGGAGAGACCTCTCCCCAACGGTGGCAGGAGGCGGAGACACCCGACTATTCTCAAGAACGGTAAGCATACTAGTTCTGGCGTTTGTTTGAGTTAGTGGTTTGGATTATGCAAAAGTTTCGGGTTGATGGCAATTTATAACCATGATAACCATGTGTTAATTTTTTAATAGTAAATATGAAAATAACATAACTCGTGACCTTACTTTCTTAATGGAAAATAATCGTTACAAAATTTGTAAAAGCAGGATTTTGATCTCAAACAGAATCGATTTAAGTGAATTTCTTTTAGGACCAAAATTATAGTTTTCTCTAAAACTTACTATCTCCGTCTCATAATTGTTGTCAATTTTTTTTTTTCCTTTTGATGTGTTTATTCTTTAATTTTTACCATAAATATTTTTTCTCCGTGTTATAAATTACTAGATAAAACTTATAACAATCAAAATACATTTAAATTACAATTCATTCATATATTTGCATCAACTATTATACATCAAAAAATATATATATATTTAAGGTTAGAGTTGAAAAATAAAAACTTCAAAATCAAAAGTGGAAAACAAATATGAGACCGAACGAGTATTATTTTTATACATATATTTTATTAATGTAATCTTTTTGCAACTTTTTGTTTACTTTTTTAATCTTATTTTATTATTTCTAGTAGTGGACTCGGGTAAAACGACAATGACGATTGATATATTTTTCGAAAATATTTTCCAAAAAACACCTAATGTATTGTTTGATGAAGGTGAATATTTTGGAATAGTATTTTGTGTTATCATATATGCCTTTTAGTGTATTGATATTTTCTGGTTGTGCTAGTATGTTTTCTCTTACGTTGGATCCATTCTAGCAAAAAATGAGCTACATTTTCATCTAGCATGGTAATGATACCAACGCAAAGTGTTAATGGTACCAACACATGTCATATTCCAGAAAACACCTGGTAGATACAAATTTTTATTGATCGGTTTTACAGATGGGTGTGTAATTTTAGTATATTGATCGAAAGTGAAGAAATGGAAAAACAAAATGTTTACAGGCCGTACGTTTTAATATTTTAATCGTTTGTGTGTTTGTTTTATGTGTTTGGGTTGCTTCTTGATTAATTTAGAAAATGATCCAAGACCACTTATGGAATGTTTGCTTTGCTTTGGAAAGATTTGACAATTTAGAATATGTGAAAGAAATATTAATTTTAAAAGATTATATTACAAAGGAATTGAAATGTGACGAATAACTGTCGCGAAATGCAGTAAAATTAAAATTATTTTGTATTTTTTTTCTTTGTGATCACATCAAAAGAATTGAAGTACGACGAATGAAATGGCACATTTTTACACGCTTTATAAGATTATGCTCACAGCTCACATAACCCTTTTAAATACTTATAAGAATATATAAAAATACTTATAAGAATATATAACATAACTTCTTAACAATCTTTT